TCTGCACCAATCTAGTACTCTATTTAGATGCGCCGCTCTCTGCTAAAAATGGACATTCTCCGGCTAACAGAAAGTACGTACAGAGGTATGGGGCAAGAATGCTGGAGGATATGTCGGTACAACCCAAATTGTCACCAGGCACATAGGTAAGAAACTCGGGCAAAGCATTCAATGTAATACAAAACCGCTGGCTGCACACATACTCTTCTCAACGATATAATTATTATTATTATACAGGATTTATATAGCGCCAACAGTTTACTCAGCACTTTACGATATTAAATAACAAGCACAAGTCACAATTGGAGCGCCTGCAGTCTATAAAAGTCACTGCCACTGTTATAATGTCCAGACCAAGAAAGAGAGAACCGAGTCAGGTATTAATAATTATTCGGCAAAAGTCAACATTTATTAAAAAGCACCAAAAACCAAAAAAATGCCACTTGTGCATAAATTAGGCTTTCATGAGGCTTTGCAGATAGGATGGAGCCGGCTGGGGTGGTGAATGACTCGTATGTTCGGTCCCAGCAGAGGAACCAGTGCCAAGCCGGTGTCCCTCACAGTTTACGGGTCGTAGGTTGGGTTCCGGCTGCAGATGGGATGCGGAAGACAGAGCCACTTGGGGACCCGGAATGACACAGCCGTTGGGACAGAAGTGACGTAAGGAACTGGACAGGAAACCGTTAGAAGGATCCAGAAGGATACCATCCCTCTTTTCCCTTTGGGATTTTCTTTTTCGATGCGTTCCTTTTGTTTTTTGATGTGTTGCTTTTTCGATGCGTTACTTATGATATATGTAAAAAATATTTTTTTTTCTGCTGTTTTGATATATTCTGGTCTGAATATGTATGTTTTTTTGTGATTTTTTTTGTATTTTATCCCAAGTAGACATGCATTTTTTTTTAATGCGTTTTTTTGCATATGTTTATATTTACATTTTTGATTATTTACAAATGTGGCTTCTTAGCCCATATCTTCTTGGGATATTTACTCACTTTTATCTGTGTTTGTTATTCTATTTTTAATTTGTAATTTTTTCATAATTATTTTTATCCATTCTTTTTCTCTTCCTTTGTTTTTTCTTTTATTCCACTTCACTTTCCTTTTTTCTTTTCTTCCTTTCTTGTTGTTCTCTGAGATCACTACTTTTGATACAATGGTTTTATATGTTTGTTACAATGTATTAGTAGGTGTACCCTCAGGATTCAGGAGTGCTGATTAGGGCAGGTGTTCTTTATTAACTACATAAGACAGCACTTTTGTTGTTTTCTTTGTTATGATTAAGCACGAGATCGTGTGAAACGCGTTAACAGGTCCTGTATTCATGTCCTGGGGTTTTGTGTGTCCTATGGATCAATAAATATACACTATATTCATCTATCCTCCGGTGTGCGGCTGACCCTTCTTCCTATTAGAAAGATGAGCCACACAGAATGGGAGCACAAGGGGAAGCAGGACACAGCCAGTTGTAGGACGACACATTTCGGGGCACGTCCCTTCCTCGGGTCATGTGATTGAACCTGGCAGTAAAATATAAATAGAGAGCTAAGGGGATGAGTCACCCAGGACTCCTCCTATATATCCAGAAGGTTTCCTTCCAACAAAGTAATGCAAAATGCTAATTTATTGTGAGGGAACCCTCTGATGATGTCCCTCACTGTGTTGGCCACTGAATATATACCAGAGGCTTCCCTCAAAATAAATGAGCATTTTGCATTATTTTGGAAAAGGGAAACCTTCTGGATTTATATATGGATTGATTAGAGGAGTATGGAAGGTATTCATTTTATTGGAGGGTCCTGGATCACTCATACACCCCCCCAACCCAATCCCACACCACCACCCAAACCCCCCCCACTCCCCGGATCCATTTAACTTTTACTGCCGGTTGCAAACACATGACTTAAGGAAGGGGCATGCACCAAAAACGTGTAGAAGAGCGATCCTGTCGCAGGTGCAGTGTCGCCCAGGAGAACCCAGGGCAGTCTTCGTATGTGCACCGAATGAGTTAACTGGGAAAACATGGAGGAAAGAAACACCAGCCCTGCCTTTCCTCCCTCCAAAAACCTGCGATTATGGCCATACTATTCTTGACTTCATTACAAATTAAGATACTTCCCATTTTATTTTACTCAGTAGTCTTTTGTCATTTCAAAATATAAAATATGCATTTTGAAGTATACAGCTTTATAGACATGCTTCCAGGACAAACTCAGACAGTGATCGTTTCCTTGAACACCGTGCTATACAGTGTCCTTGGTTGAAGGACATTGTTAGAAATGTCTAAGTCTCTCTTTCCCCAGCATGCTATGTTCCGTCAGGGTTGTTCTTGGGACATTCATCTCTTGTCACTGAAACTTCAGATCCCCCTGAGAATTTAAAATGGTAGAGTCTATTCCCCTTTCCATGAACAACAAAGGATATCCCACATTAAAAGCATGGGGGAGGTTTCAAGGTTACTTTATCAAATGTCACCAGGAAGTGTGACGTGTCCCAGCTGTTTAACAATATTGCTGCCTCACATTCTACTCACCACACAGAGAAGACCATTCATTCTTACAGCAACATCTACTGTGGAGGAAAGTACTTCCTATGAAAAAACTATTAACCACTTGCACTTCTACCCCCTTCCTGCCCAGGCCAACTTTCAGTGCTGTTGCATTTTGGATGACAGTTGCACAGTCATGCAACACTGTACCCATATGACATTTTTATCATTTTTTCACACCAATAGAGCTTTCTTTTGGTGATATTTAATCGCCACTGGGAGTTTTATTTTTTGTACTATAAATTAAAAAAAAAAAAAGCAAAAAATTCAAAGATTAAAAAAGCTTTCTTTGTTTCTATTATAAAATTTTGCAAACAGCTAATTTTTCTCCTTCACTGATGTGTGTTGATGAGGCTGCACTGATAGGAAGCACTGATGAGGCAGTACTGATAGGTAGCACTGATGAGGCAGCACTGGTGGGCATTGATGAGGAGGCACTGATATGCAGCAATGATAGGCACTGATAGGTGAAACTGATGGGCGGCACTGACTGATAGCACCAACTAGAGGCACTGCTGGGCAGCACTGCTGACGGGCGACACTGCTAGGCACTGATGGGCGGCATTGCTGGACACTGATGGGTGGCATTGCTGGACACTGATAGGCTGTATTACTGGGCACTGATGGGCTGTATTGCTGGGCGGCACTGATAATCATTGCCCTGATTATTAGTGCAGATCTGCTGGTTATCGGCAATACTTTCTTCACGCTGTGACAGCGTGAAGAAAGTGCAACCGATAACCGGCAACTGTATTTACATTGTGAACGGCTGTGTAAATGGACACAGCTTATCACGTGGTAAAAGGTTGCTGTGATTGGCCTTTTACCATAGCAATGGTGGAGCGCCGCTGTGGGCGCGTGTTCTGGGAGGGTGTCCACCTCATTGGTGTCAGTGAGAATAGTAGCTCATCATTACTGTCAGTGGGAATAGTGTCTCATTGTTGTGAAATTGTGCCCCATCATTGGTGTCAGTGGAATAGTGCCCCATCACTGGTGTCAGTGGGAGGAATAGTGCTCCATCACTGGTGTCAGTGGGATGAATAGTTCCCCATCATTGGTGTCAGTGGGAGGAATAGTGCTCCATCACTGGTATCAGTGGGAGGAATAGTGCTCCATCATTGGTGTCAGTGGGAGGAATAGTGCTCCATCATTGGTGTCAGTGGGAGGAATAGTGCTCCATCACTGGTGTCAATGGGATGAATAGTTCCCATCATTGGTGTCAGTGGGACGAATAGTTCCCCATCATTGGTGTCAGTGGGACGAATAGTGCCCCATCATTGGTGTCAGTGGGACAAATAGTGGCTCATCATTGGTGTCAGTAGAAAGATAATGCTCATGATTGGTGTCAGTGGAAAGAATAGTGCCCCATCATTGGTGTCAGTGGGACGAATAGTGTCCCACTGTTGAAATTGGTGGCAGGAGTTATGCCTGTTAGTGTCAGTGGGCAGAATAGTGTCTTGTGTCAGTGGAATAGTGCCTCAAGGGCCTGTTAAAGGCAAAGGGACACAGTTTGGAGACCACTGCTTTAGAGGCTCCATAAACAAAAAATTATAAATGCACAATTTTTGCAGGTAAAAAATATGCATCCAAAACACACATAAAGTAGGTGATATGGTTGTCAGTGTCATAGTTGACATCAGTGCTTGCAGTTCCAGTGCGTTCCGGGTGCAGAAAAAAAAAGTAGAACAGGCTAAGATTTTCCTGCACAGCACTACACTGGAATGCAGTAATGAAAAACGCACATGTCCCTATCAGGGGCAGACTGACAACTCATGGGGCCCCCGGGCAATAGGGGATCATGGGGCCCCTGTGTCCTTGCCCAAACTCAAAAAAGCCTATGAGAAAGGTACCAGGGGCATCTCACGGGGCCCCCTACTGACCCCGGGCCCTTGGGCAGTGCCGAGTTTCCAAATGGTCAGTCCGCCCCTGGTCCTTATTTACATGGAAAAAGTAACTAGAATGCAAAAAACACACTGGAACACATCAAAAATGCACCGGAACGCATCAAAAACGCACTGGAACATGTAAACACCGTGCATGCGGAAACGCATCCGGACCGCGCTTCTATAGTGTGAACCGGCCCTTAAAGCATCACCTATGCAGATTTTTCAGTACCATGGTTTGCCGCCATTCCTCCACCCTATCATCTTTATTTTCCTACCATTTGGGTATTATATTGTGTTTTCTGCATTAAAATTCATTCAAGGGTATTTTTTCCAAACTGTACTAAAAAAAAAAAAGCTGCTCAAATATTGTGTGACAGAAAAAATTGCAACGACCACCATTTTATTTCTCTAAGGCCTCTGCCTAAAAAAAATATAGAATGTCTGGAGATTCTGAATGACTTTTCAGCCAAAAATAGTGATTTTTACATGTAAAAGGTGTCAGAATTGGCCTGTTCATGCGTCCACCATCTTACAAGGGGGGGGCTGCCCGGCATTTGTGGGGTTAAGCGCCTTGTCGTCAGGCTGGAGCTCGGCGCTCGACTATCTCCCCTGATCGTTGGCTCAGGACTCGGCACGGCGCTCGGCAGATTTTTATGGGATTAGGAGGAAGCTGGGGCAAGATGCTAGTGGCCGCGGCGGCGGACAGGAACAAGGAGCCGATCCTGCAGGTGCTCCGGCAGTATGTGAACCCGGAGGTCCCGGTGGCGCGGGTGCTGGAGGTGGCCTCGGGCACCGGGCAGCACGCCGCCCACTTCTCCCGGGCGCTGCCCAACGTGCGCTGGATCCCCTCTGAGATGGACCAGCGCTGCCTGCGGAGGTGAGCCATGTGACTGGAGCGGATCACATGACCCTGGAGACTGGGCAGCTGTCACGTGACGGCTAAAGGAATGGCGGCAGTGGGCTCTGGAATGAGTCGCAGTGTTCTATGTGACACCCCATCCAGTCTCCAAATAAAGTGTCTCCACTGACCACAGGGTTTTATTAGTTGTATGAAAGAGAGGAGGGGGGACTTCCACTAGATGTATTGCTGTCTGGGGAGAGTTCACTTCCGGTCTGGAAGATTGAACAGGAAGTGAGGAAAAATTTCTCCAAAGTGACCAGAAATCCCTCCACACTTTATTCAAACCATATATCTAAAGTTTTTGTTTTATTCTTTTTTAATTTAGTTTTAGGCCTTATGCACACAGGGCAGTTTTACAGCCACTTTTAGGGGCATCAGGTGTTTGTAAACACCCCCCCTGTTATCCTATGTGCTCATGCACACTTTACGGTTGCCACCTCAAACGTTTCAAACCGAACACATTAGTTGTATAATTATTTATCAATGACTGATTAACCACTTGACAACCAGGCTTTAGCTGAATAATGGCATCAGCGCAGTTGTCATGTTCTGGGAGGGCTTCATATGACGTCCTCCCAGAATGCACCCTGTGCTGTCTGCGATCGCTGTGTCCTACAGGGACAGCTGATCACATGACAAGGTAAAAGGCCAATCACAGCAGCCTTTTACCATGTGATCAGCTGTGTCCAATGACCAATGTGTCCAATGACACAGCTGATCACAAAGTAAATAGAGTTGCTGGGTATGGCAGCACTTCCATCACGTTGTCACAGCGTGAGGAATGTACTGCCGATAACCGGCAAGAATCACAGAGGACATCTGTACTGATTACCAGTGCAGTCCCAAAAGTACCAATCAGTGCCACCAGTCAGTGCTGTCAGTTAGTGCCCATCAGTGCCTCCATCAATTCCCACCAGTGCAGCCTCATCAACGCACATCAGTGAAGAAGAAAATGTACCTGTTTGCAAAATTTTATAATAGAAACAAAGAAAAACTTTTGCATGTCAGCTTTATTATTCTATGCTTGCCCGCCCCCACAAAGCTATGGGACATGTGTACCAACTAACATTCTAGAGTCTCACATTAGTAGGGTTCATAATTCTACCATGTTGAAATGTGTGTCTGTACTGCCAGTATCAGCCACACATTTTTTAAGGCTTTTGTAAATTTTGGAGAAAGCCGAAAGTCACAGGGTGGTTGGTGAAGTTTCAGAATAGAGTTCTGGGCCAGGAACTTTTGAACATGTAACACATTATGTGCAGGAGCATGGTTGTGGTGCAGAATCCACTTGTCACACCAGAGTTCCAGTCTTTTCCTTGGAACAGATTCTCTGTCCACATTTGCATCCATCCTTTAAGTATTTGGCTGCCCACTTCTTGCGTCATTGTGGACATCCTCCCACCCCTACGTAAACCACCTACGACATTCAAAAACATTTGATTTCTTCATGGAATGTTTACCATAAGTCTGTTGTAACAGAGCTAAAGTTTCACTCGCACTTTTGCCATCTATCACGCAAAATTTGAGTGTTATTTCTTCTGCTACTCTGTAAAGTCTGAGCCAACTGGTCTGTGACCCAGGTAAGTGAAAGTCAACACATGTCAGAATTGTGAATGGCTGTGTGACTCACCACCATAGTGCTATGCTGCGGGCATTCCGGGAATTAAATTGTCACACTTCGTATTGCCAATCTGATGAGCTACGTCTGCTAACCTGCTTCATATCTTGTCTCTCTCCTGACAGTATTTCTGAATACATCAGTAAAGGATCTCTGACCAATGTGGAGCAGCCTCGTACTCTGAATTCCTCTCTGAGCTGGGAGACCTGGGGAGTGGCGCCAGACTCTCTGCATCTTATCGTCTGCATCAACATGATCCATATCACCGAGCCGAGCTGTACCAAGGTCACTGCATCTATTATTTTTTTGTATTTCCTCTGTAAAGAAAAGTAAAATTGGCCATGTGTGGGGCTGATGGGTTACGAGATTTGTGTGTCGGTGAGATCTCAGACCCACCAGGACTTTGCTCCCCCTTCCAGATCATGTTCAGATTCCAATTAAGAATAGAGGTGGCATAGTTCCTGCTTGTAGCAAAATGTATGTGAGCAATAGTTATATAGTTAGTCTGGCTGAAAAAAGACAAAAGTCCATCCAGTTCAACCATAGAAATAAAAAAGTTATAATCCTATACCTACAGTTGATCCAGAGGAAGGCAAAAAAAACCCAGCAAAGCACGATCCAATTTGCAGCTCCTGGGGAAAAAATTCCTTCCTGATCCCCCGAGAGGCAATCAGATATTCCCTGGATCAACTTTACCTATAAATGTTAGTATCCAGTTATATTCTGTGTATCTAAGAAACAATCCAGGACTTTTTTTAAAACAATCCACTGAGCTGGCCAGAACCAACTCTTGAGGGAGTCTATTCCACATTTTCACAGCTCTCACTGTGAAGAAACCTTTCCGTGTTTGAAGATTACATTTCTTTTCCTCCAATAGTTCGTGTTTCTGCTGCCTGCTTGTAAAGCTTGTCATACAGGTTAAAGCCGTATTAAACCCAAAACCAAAAGTGTATTATATTGCAGCTTACCAATCATTAGATGTGGTGGTTGCATTAGTTTTCTTTTCTTTGTTTTTTTTTCCACCTCCTCTGTTTTCATCTGGTAATCTGGCCAGTAACACACCTCTTGCATTAGCGTGACACAACTCTGCAGGAAGGAGCACAGAAGGGAGAGCAGACAGCAGAATTGTCCATCTAGGGGGATGGAAGTGTTAAATGTATTAGCAGATTTGAATACAAATAACAAATTGAAGCCAAACTCCAGCTAAGACTTTATAATCAATTACAGCAAACATTTTTTTTTCCTTTTGGGATAAAGGTTTTACATTTATTTCAGGTACTTATATAGCGCCATCAATTTACGCAGCGCTTTACATATATATTGTACATTCACATCAGTCCCTAACCCTCAAGGGGCATACAATCTAAAGTCCCTTTAGAATAAATAAAAGCTGATCATTGTAAGCACACCTGTCAGTGGTAAATGGTTTGTATCATCCATGTAAACTGATACATTCTGCTGGAGAGCTTGTGCTTTTTGAGAAATAACAGACTTGCTAGCTGGATCATCAGATAAAAAAATAGAAGAAAGCCTTAAAAAAAAAAAACAAATACAGCCATCACATCTAGGAAATGGTAAGCTGCAATATAATAAATAGAATACAAAGGTGCAGTGCTACAGATAATCATAAAATAGAAAAACAATTAATAAAATAAAGAAAAATGTAAAACTGCAGTGAGCGCTCTCATTAATTAGCAGCTGAACATTCAAGGAAAACACATAAAAGTACCAAGAAATATCTATATAAGTAAATGCAGCGCTATTAGTATATCATAAATGGTTGTGGTAGTATTAATAAATGGATAATAATAAGACACAGTCCAGTAAAAGGTGCTCGTTGAATCCGGGTGCAAATGGTAGAAATGCACACTAACCAGAAGCGTATAGGTAATACGCATGTGAATAAATATCCTGAAGATTCCCCTCTCCTTTCTGGTCTGATCACGGGAAAAACTGGAAAGAATGAAGATCAAGCGCCTTCGTGTGGTGAAGATGTGGTCCAGCAGGTCAGAGAAATCTTTGCCAAGATGTAGTTCCCCCTCTCAGGAGCTGACACAGGAATCACTCAGGGCTGTAAAGGTTGAAGAAGCTTCTCGCAGGAGACACAGGGAAATACTCATAGTGTAGTAGGTAACTGACTCACTGCTCTAGAAACTGGGAGCCGCACGGAGCTCGCTACAAACAACAAGGAAGCAGCCACAATTAATAAAATAAAAGTCCAATAATGTCCGGTATAAATAAAAATAAATTATTTTGTAATAAAATATGTGGATATCAAATAAATTCCCCCAAAAATTCCAATAGACGGGGAGAGTCCACCATCACCAACACCCCAAAAAAATGCTACCTCTTACCAGACCGAAAAGACCCCCCCAATTAATAACGGGTCAAAAGACAGAACAGATTGCAAATGTGAATAACGAACCCAGACACTTTTTGGTTCCGAAGGAATAAACTGACTCCCATGTGTTGAATGAAGGAAAATGCCTGCTGGATCACTTTCAAAAGATTTCCATATCAAGACATTGATTCTCAACTGATAATTCAAGAATTAAGCCAGAGATAGACCTGTGAAAATGAATTATCGTCAAAGAGGACAATACCCAAAAAGCAAGAAAATCCTCATAGTGCAGTACATTCAAAAGGATTTATTGCCTTAAAACGTAGTATTGAACGTACATCAATAAAAAAGTTAAAACAGCATGTCACCATATAACCAAATGGTATGTTTCAAACCCATAATATGGCCACCACGTTCCTGGTACTGCTGACATCATGCGCTCTGGCTTCTCCCGACGCGTTTCGTCACCAGTAAGGTCTTCAAATAAATGTTTGCTTTTGAGTTTACCGCTCAAAAAAAGGCTCTGGACAGCATCGGGAAGAGTTAAAAAAAAAAAATTTCAGACGCAAATGCTTATAAACGTGTTTTGAAACGCTGATAAAATCGACTGCTGAACGCAAGTTTTTTACGTTAAAAAAAAAAAAACGACTGTAAACTCAACTGCCTGTAAACGACTGTAAACAAAGGTGTGTACATGGACATATAGGAAAACATTAGGGAGAGTTCAGGGGCTGCTGAAAAAAAAATGCTGAACAGCTCTTAAATGTGAGTTTATCAGCTGCAGTGTACATGAGCCCTTAGAGGTGCTGTGCTTGTTTGTTTCCCCTTGGGCCAAAAGATACACTTACAGTTTTAAATTTCTTGTGGCCACATATATAAAACCTCCACAGACTGAAAACCAGACAAGCAGATCTCAGTACCCTGTATTTGAAGGTGAGACCTCTAGTTTCCTTGTCACCTCCTCCCATGCTCGCCTCCAGGACCTCTCCCTAGCCTCTGCCAACCTCTGGAACTCCCTACCCCAATCTGTACAGCTATTTCCTACTCTGTCCACTGTTAGGCGATCCTTGAAAACGTTTCTCTTCAAAAAAGCCTATCCTAACAAAAGTACAATTGTACTTTTATTTTCTCCATCAGCTCATCCCCCACAGTTATCATCTTTTTGTATCACTTGACCCTCCCTCTTAGATTGTAAGCTCTAAGGAGCAGGACCCTCTGATTGCTACTGTATTAAATGGCATTGTAACTGTACTGTTTACCCTCAAGTTGTAAAGCGCTGAGCAAACTGTTGGCGCTATATAAATCCTGTATAATAATAATAATGAGATATAATGATACAATTATTTGCACATGTTGCCTTCTTTCTGTTGTATTTTCATGCCTGGTGTGTGACCTTTCTCTTTATCGGTCCCCTTTTTCTCATTTTCTGTTCACTGTGTCTGTTACAGGGTCTCTTTATTGGAGCGGGCCATGTGCTTCAGCCTGGCGGTGTGCTCCTCACCTATGGGGTAAGACTGACCTCTTCTGGATTGAATTTTTTTTTTTACATGATAGGTCTAAATGTGGGAATACACGATTAGAAAATCGACCGATCGGTCATCCGACAACCAAGAGGCGTTCGTTCGTTGGTCGAAATTGTGGCCCACATTAACCAATCTAGAAAAAATAGTCGGGCAATACGTAGTGTTGACGTCTTCCGTACAAGTGGAAGTGATGCGGTGTACGTGTGACCTTGTAGCCACGCCCTTCCGGCCAGAACGAGCGATATACACAAACAATTCCCAGCAATGAGTATAATATCGTTTATTACATGACCTATATACATAAATAGTGATACATAAAATATAATCTGCACAATTCTGGTTTCATGATCTCATTAGGCCAATCGACTATTGACATTTGGATTTTTCGTTCGCGTTTTATGAAGATTCCTTGGACATAAACATCCGGGTCATCTTCTTTTCCGCTCATGCGTGATAGCGCTTGATAGATTTTTTTTATACAACCGTCATACCACTGCTTAGAAAATTGGTCGATCGTATGTGAAACAAAATTTTTCACTGTTGTTCAACCAGATTTTTTTCGTTCACAATATCGTTATCGGTTAAAACATCCTGCTCATCAACGAAGAGAAAATCGTTCGATCAGTGGTTCCGTGAAGTTTTTCAGACGATTTTCTTCTATCGTGTGTACGGGGCAGCAGTTTGCATTCAGGCAGCCACAGCTACCAGAGCTGCTGCCAAGCAGTACCTGTATCTGATAGGATGCAGTAGCTGTACAGCTGATCATTTTGCACCTGGCTGAATGGATTTTTAACCCCCTTGGCGACGGCGCCTCCTGGCACTTTAAGGGTTTTAGGAGGCAGGGTGGGGTTTAGGGTCATGTGACCGCTGTGGCATGCCGTCATGGCGGTCACATAATCGGGAAAGGTCCCGATCGAAAGAGGAGATCGGGACCTTTCCGTGAGTACCAGACAGGGCACATATGTTTTTTTTTAATAGAACGCAAATGTGCGGCCGCTCGGCGTCTAGGCCCAGACGCAGGGAGGTCGCACATTTGTGTTTGGCCGGCGCCAAGAGGTTAAATAGACTTTTGTCAAGCCAGTGGGTGCTTGCAGGGCCACCCTCAACTCAATTTTGGCTGATTCAGCTGGAATGGACTGAAATTCAAGCCTTCTGTGAGAGCCTTCAGTTACAGATTAGTAAACGGCAAGGAGGTGTGACCAATGCTGGGCAGATCATGGAAGACAGTCTTTTAGATCGTAAGCTCACGTGAGCAAAGCCGCCTTGTCTTGAATTGTATTTAAACTATACGGTTTCCCTTTATATTCATGTACTGTACCAATAATAATAATGCAGAGCCTGGACTCAACCGGAAGTCAGTCTTTTAGGCCCCATTCACACTTGCAAATGGAGCCGTTACCAATTACATGCTTGAGATGTAGCGGGGGGTCCCAGTGAATAGCTGCAGGCGGCAGCCCCATTGAAAGCAATGGGAGACTGACAGCTCCTGCAGCTAATCATGGCCACTCACATGTTATCGATCGTGGATTACCTGCAATGATCAGCCCTGGATACAAACAGTTTGTATCAGATCATAACAGGTAATTGCTCCTTTAGTGACTTTAGGAAAACTGAATTCACTTTCTGATTTAGCACAGTTGGAGGGTTTGCTGGATAACATGGTTATGCTTTCCATACATGGGTCGAAATTCGACCGATTTTGCATCCAAAAATCGGACCTAAGAATAATCGGCCGATTTTCGCTCTGTTAGTGGGTCAATGGCACCAGACGATTTTCGTGGTTCCTCCCCTTTTCGGTGATCGGGCATGTTGGAAAATTTGTGAAAAATGACTGATATTCGACTCAATGATGGTCAAATCGTACGATCGTTTTTCCAAAAAGAATATGCGCATGAGCTGTGACCTGGAAGGAACAGAAGTTTCTCTTGTTATATGGGGTGAACTTTATGACTTGGCCAGGCGATTCTCGAAATCATTGATAGCACCATTGGAGTACCGAGCGAACGATGTTTTCGATTTTCAGACAAAAAATCGTTCGGAATTCGACCCATGTATGGCCTGCATAACTCACTGATTGGTTCCAGGATTGCTTTCTGTGTGCTGCAACATTTCTTAACATCACTTTATTTCTGAACCCTTCACAGCAATCCAAGTACAATGTAAATGTGAAATGTGAAATGCTCATCTAAAGGAGGCTTAGTGTTCTCTTTCTAATCTGGAGAAACATCTCTATATCAGCAAACATTATTGTGTTATTATAGTAGCGCGCACTAATTGCATCTGTTCTTTCCGCAGCCTTACTCTGTAAACGGCATCCTCACCCCTCAGAGTAATATCGACTTTAATCAGAGTCTGAAAAACAGGTACCCTTTCTGTGTATATTGTATGTACGTGTGCACATCTAACAATGGCCTTGTCTGTTGTGTTATAGTAGCTCTCATTGTGTACAGTGTACCTCCAGGGGTAGGCAACCTGCAGCTCTCCAGCTGTTGCAGGACTACAAGTTCCATCATGCCTCCATCTATATGTAGTTGTCAGTTTGTAATGTTGCAATGCCTCATGGGAAATGTAGTTCCACAACAGCTAGAGAGCCGCAGGTTTTTGTGTTTTGCGCTGTTTTTTGAGTTGAAGAGAGCCGCAGGTTGCCTACCTCTAAGCAAAGCCTTTCTTTTTAGATTTTGTATAGAGACAGGAAGGGTAAAGCTGGCCACAGATGACTCCTTTTATTTCAATCAGGCAGCAGTGAATTAAATGGAAGAATCCTCTCCACTGAGACATTAGGGTTGATAAAGCTAGAGAGTGCAAAATCCGGTGCAGCTGTACATTGCAGCCATTCAGCTTCTAACTTCAGCTTGTTCAATTAACCACTTAAACTCTAGAAAGTTTTACCCCCTTCATGACCAGGCCATTTTTTTTGCTATTCAGCACTGCGCTGCTTTAACTGGCAATTGCCTGGTCATGCAACTTTGTACCCAAATTACATTTATATCCTTTTTTTTTTTTTTCACACACAAATAGAGCTTTCTTTTGGTAGTATTTGATTACCACTGGGGTTTCCTTTATTATATAAACAACAAATTATATAAATTAATATTTTGAAAAGAACTATATTTTTTTGCTATAAAACATATCCAATATAGACATTTTAAAAGAAAAATCACATTTCTTCATAAATTTAGGCCAAAATGTATTCTGCTACATGTCTTTGGTATATAAAAAAAAAAGTGTATATTGATTGGTTTTTGTGAAAGTTAAAGTGTCTACAAGCTATGGTATGTATATACTGGAATATAGATAGATAGATAGATATATATATATATATATATATATATATATATATATATATATATATATATATATATATATAATATATTCCAGTATATACATACCTTAGCTTGTAGACACTTTAACATATATATATATATATATATATATATGTATATATAAAACTAATGGCAGTGAACAGTGACTTATAGTAGTGAGACTGTGATAGTGGAAAATCTGACACTGGGTGGGACCTGAGTAACTGACACTGACATCACCAGTGACACTAATACAGTGATCAGTGATAATACTACACTGACACTGTACTAATGGCACTGGCTGGGAAGGGGTTAACATCTAGAGGCAATCAAAGGGTTACCTGTGTGCCTAACAATGTGTAATGTGTGCTGCTTTTACTAATAGATGTGGCTGTGTTTTTTTTTCGTACAAAGTACCCCTGCTCCATGTACAGAGCCCTGTGTTTTTAGTAAACACAGGGCTCTGTACTGTGATTCGCTAAGCTGATCAGCTGGTTCCGGCCATAAATCATCTGCAGGGACCTGCTAATCGACTTGTGCTGTAGCCAATGACAGCACAGATGGGGTGGCAGGTACATGCGTTCCCCTACCTGTAAATGCTTGACCATGTACATGATCCAATGCAGCAAAAAGGCGGAGGGCAGTCTGCAGGTGGTGAAGCTTTGAGGATAAAAAAAAAAAACTGAAAGTTGACTGGTTTCTATGCAGAGCTGAACCAGATTTTGCATTCTCCAGTTTTAGTAAATCAACCCCATTGTATTTTGACAGCGGGACTCCTCCACTGTCAGATTGCACTGATCTGCAGCCACTGATTGAGATGCCTTATGACTGATTTCTATTGAATAGGGAAAGCCATACACTGATTGACATTCAGCCGGTTCTTGTTGAACTGTCTCTATTTCGATCCATCTATGGCGAGCCAAAGGCTGTCTGTTAAGCTTTTATAGACCGCTGTCATCCAGCAAGAAAATGGTCAGAAATCCAAAAAATGTTAGAGTTGTCAACAGAACAAAAAGTGGGAGGAAATCTTCCAGTGGGAACATCTGTTCTAGTGACAGCAGTGTAACGCTTCATTCAGATCGGAGTTGTCACCACATCTGTTATTGTGCCTACATCTACCCCAAGCTGCAAGCAGGCAGCCTATGAGGTGGATGCAGATGCATCAGCTGCACAAACACAGCCGCATGTCAAAACTTGAGCAGGTGCACAGATCTGAACGCCCATTTCTCCACTCCCACTCCTGAATGTGTGTTCAATTTTAACATGCAGCTGTGTCTGTGCTGTCTTTGCATCAGCATCCACCTCCCACTCCATAGGCTGCTGTATGCTCTTGTACTTTAATCAGTATAAACAGCAAGTTCTGACCTTGGACTGCAATGTGTTTCCCTGGGTAGAGTTCAGTTCTACTCATTGCAGGCAAAATCAGACTTATCCCAGTCAAAACAAACGTCATCTGCAGATGAGCATCAAATTTGTGGTACATGAAGGCCAGCAATACCTAGCAATTCACCTAGATATGTTGGTTAGACTGTGTCCATCTGTCATAGTGAAGGTGAATCCACAATTTCCAGACTGACACTACAGCCATGTGTTTATATAATATATATATGTACAGTGAAGGAAATAAGTATTTGATCCCCTGCTGATTTTGAATGTTTGCACACTCACAAAGAAATGATCAGTCTAAAAATCGAATGTTTGGTGTATTGTAACACTAAGAGACAGAATAGCAACAAAAAATTCAAAAGAAATGCATGTCTAACAAATGATGCACTGATTTGCATGATCATGAGGGAAATAATTATTTGATCCCCTATCATTCAGCAGGATTTCTGTCTACCAGGTGTCTTTCATACAGGTAACAAGCTGTGATTAGAATCAGTCTCTTAAAGGGAGTGCTGCTAATCTCATTTTGTTACTTGTATAAAAGACACCTGTCCACAGGAGCAATCAAACCATCAGATTCCAAACTCTCCACCATGGCAAACACCAAAGAGCTGTCCAAGGATGTCAGGGACAAGATTGTAGACCTACACAAGGCTGGACTGGGCTACCAAACTATCGCCAAGCAGCTTGGTGAGAAGGTGACAATAGTTATTACAATACACCTACTATTTCGATTTTTAGAATGATCATTTCTTTGTGAGTGGGCAAACGTACATTCAAAATCAGCAGGGGATCAAATACTTATTTGCTTCACTATATATATACAGTGGGGATCGAAAGTTTGGGCACCCCAGCTAAAAATTTGTATTAATGTGCATAAAGAAGCCAAGGAAAGATGGAAAAATCTCCAAAAAGCATCAAATTACAGATTAGACATTCTTATAATATGTCAACAAAAGTTAGATTTTATTTCCATCATTTACACTTTCAAAATAACAGAAAATGAAAAAATGGCATCTGCAAAAGTTTGGGCACCCTGCAGAATTTATAGCATGCACTGCCCCCCACTGTGTATGTGTATATGTGTGTGTATATATATATATATGTATATATATATATATATATATATATATATATATATATATATATATCTCTACATCTCCATACATTTTTCCATGGTGGTTTATTATCTGCAATATAGCTTGCAGCATTAAACTGCCTGCTTCTAATATTTGTTTGATTTGTTGCCTGAGCTAAGAGTTTTCTTCATTTGCAGTAATCCTGACTGGGGGATCTGGGATACAGGAGATCTGCAGGAGCTAGCGAAATCCTGTGGCTTGACATTGGAGAGAATGGTAAAGCCCTCTTCTTATACTAACATGTTCCCATGTGCTACTGTGGCTATCATGTATACCTACCCAGTGGGCTGAACAAAAGAAAACTGATTCTTCCATCCAAACCAATGAGGTGGATTGAGGAATCCCCCTTGCCAGGACATTGCTTTTTTTTTTTTTTTTAATTTAAATATTTATTCATTTTACATATAAAAAACATGTTCCATCATTACTCTCATATAAACATAGAAAACCATCAGTTATATCCCCTGCTATCATTATTCCCATTACCCCCCTCCACCCATCTAATGCCCCGCCCACCCTGAAAACCTACCCCCCCCCCTCAAAAAATAAATAAATAAAAAAACCACCCACTCTGCATCTCTCCATTTCCTCTTTTCCTAAATAAGGAGTACTTTCATATATCCCACTCTACTGCTTCATGTATTTCCCCTTGGGCTCAAAATCTTCCCATTTTCTGCCAGGACATTGTATTCTGAGAGCTGGACTCGATGTTGGCAGAATTCACTGATCAGCGGCTGCAGCCACTGGTCAATAAGTTTTCCAGCTTCACAGGGACAGCCAAACAGGTCAAAATTCGGCCAGTTCTTGCTGAACTGGACAAATTTTGATCCTTCTATGGCCAGCATTAATTATTAATTACATTTCGTGATTAGCACAGTTGACTCCGAATTATTGTGCTCATAATAAGGATTACTTTCATGTAGGGTTTTATCATTTATGGAAGCTGCAAGATTAAATAACCTTCTGGCTTACTGCGAAAATGCCCATCACCCTTCATGACCGTAATGAAATCTCACTTCTTATTGCTTCAGACATTAGAGAAGTAGAGAATTCAGCAGAGGCAGTAGGTTAGCTTTAGTAATGTATTATTATAGCAGGTGGCCATAGATGGATCGAATCTCAGCCGGTACAGCAAGGACTAGCCGAGATTCGATCCATGTATGGGCAGACTGATTGTACCCAAGTCAATCGATGGAGCGACTTTGGTACAGCCAGCCTGTCAGATTTGTTACATGCAATTACTGCTGGTGGCTATAGCCACTAGCAGTAATTATTGTTTTCTACTGGCAGGGAAGGCTTCCCATCAGCTGTACACTATAGCTCCATGGGAGGGATTCCACCCATGGTGGAAGTAAAGAAAATTGCATAAATCTATGGGCTGCTTAATTTGGAAGTTTAAGGGAATAAGTTCACCTTTCTCAGCCTGTTACACCTCTAATTAGGGTGTAACATATTGAGCATCCACAGCCCCACCCCCGATCCGCCCCCTCCTTGTGACAGTGGGGGGGGGACCTTCTCCCTGGACCTGCTGTCACAATTTAAAAACGTTGCAGTTGTGCGTGGCTCCGCCTACACAGCCACATCATTCATTCAGAGTTCTGTGAATGGATGCTTACAAATACTGTCGACCTTTGCAGCTGATGGCTTGTAGTTCTCAGTGACCTGCAGGGGCACTGGTGAGCGCTCTCGTCCATCGACCTTGTTGGACTTTAGTAACTGCCTACCCTTGCAGGAGGTACAGGCTGACCATGTACTGACAGTCTGCAGGAGCCTGACATTGCATCCACAGATCTGCTGATAAGAAGGATTGAGTGATCCTGGGTGGTTTTCAGTGTCATTCAACCCATAAGAATGGGGACATCTTGAGAGAGAAAAATAAATATATACAGGGAAATGGCTCCAAAGTGAGGGTGAGTATTGCAGTCAAAGCTGATTTTTTTTTTTCTTTTCTTTTCTTTTTTTTTTTTAAACCACCTGGGGATAGTTAAAAAAACATTATGGCATTAACCTCCCTGGCGGTATGATTATGTCAGGAATTTTGTACCAAAAGCGGTACCATTTTTTTTGCATGGAAATATGTATTTTTTTATTGTAGGCCTGTAATTTAGGAATAACTCACTGAAATCTGTCCGAACAAGAGTCTAGTAAACATTCCGATATGATAAAACTTGAAACACGAAATCATAAATTATAATTTAATAAATAATCATAAAAAATAATAATATAATAATAATAAATTTAATTCAATAATATAATCAAACCAAAAACACTGAAATTTGAAATACAGAGGCAAATTCGCACATTGCTGAGCAAAGTCGCAAAATCGTTGTCAGTGTCTGATGACGAATTTCCCCACGAATCATTATCACTCAATTCTGCAAGTGGTTCTGATTTACTATCGCTGTTCTAAAACCGCTTTTGACGTAAAGGGACGCTTTTTGGCCGCCATGGACTTTTCTAAGTTTCCAGGCAGAAAGAACAGTCAAAATGCAGGCAGGGCACAGGACAAAGCAGTGGGGACAATATGTATGTGAAATGCAGTGAAAAAGCAATGACAGCAAAAATGTCATTTTTTAAAAATTTCAAATTTCCCGCCGGTTCCGCCGCCCGAACGTTCCGACGTCACAGGGACCGGAACATGGAAGCCAGATGCCGGCATCCGCCGGAGGAGATGGACGGGGACGCTGCAGGGGACCCATCGTGGGAGCGAAGGACAAGGTAAGTGCTGCAGGGACCCCCAGAGAACGCTGCATGGTAAGCCCGAGTGTAGCTCGGGGTTACCGTTCTTGGTATAGAAATTCTACCCCGAGCTACACTCGGGAACACCGCCAAGGAGGTTAAGCATTAAATCAAAGACTAATTATTTTTTACTTTCATGCATTCAGAGCATTCAGGTACTTTTGCCCCCCCTATTCCCCTTTCTGTCCCCAAACACTTACATGGTGTCCTTCTTACAGCACATACCGACGTTATCACTATACTCTGTCATTTGAGGTTAATAGTCCACTAGAGGAAAGCTCATTATTATCTGCTAAGTCTGTGTGACTGTCTTGAGTCACACCAGCAAAAATGCTCAGTGACACCATCTGCATTTCCATACGTTCCCCAAATGTGGGTTGTTGTTTGTTTTGCATTCTGCACTTCCGCATACACATGACCACAACTAACCAATTGCTGTGAGCCCTGCAGGGACATTGACACACTTACCTTTGTAGCACTGATCTCCGGTCTGCTGTTTTATTACAGGTGGATATGCCGGCAAATAACAAGTGTTTGATCTTCCGTAAGATGTGAGCGCTGATCACTGGGGAGGACAGCAACAGGCCATCAGCCTTCTTAGGACATGCAGTATGGATATGTCTGCAATGTGGTTCTCCCAAGCTGCCGGTTTGTCTGTTCTGTTGATGAGGCTTCTAGTATGAGTATGTTTTTGTGCAGCAGTATGCTTTGATATAGAAGAAAATCTGGAACCAATAAACAGCACTGGTCTTTGGTCCTAAAATCAAACATTCACCCCCCTAATTTTTTCATGTTACTTTTTTTCTTGTCTCTGCCCTTAATTGCCTTATTTTGCCCTTATTTACTCTTCAATGCTGTGCCGTGCCTTAGCTGGATGTTTTAAAGAAGAGTTCCAGGTATGGATATTTAATACATAGTTACAGATAGTTGTGCATGAAAATCCCAGTAGATCAGCAGTTTTTGAAATACTCATAGCAGCCCGTCTGACACCACCAACCATGCCATGTTCAAAATCACTTAAATCCTCTTTCTCCCCCATTTTGATGCTCAGTTTGAACGTCAGCAAGTTGTCTTCACCACATCTAGATGCCTAAATGCATTGAGTTGCTGCCGTGTGATTGGCTGATTAGCAGTTTGTGTTACCAACCAAGCAATTGAACAGGTGTACCTAATAAAGTGGCCGTTCAGTGTATATACTATCCAAAAAATAAATGAAACCAGCGCTCAAATTTTTATGCAGACTAAAGGGAAATCTGAATGCCAAATGTTGAGGTGCAGCCTTTAAGAGATCGAGAAATCTAGGTACTGGTGAACAAAAACAAACAAGGGCGCACTTTCATCGTGAATTACCGTGGTACACCCCGTATTTATTAAAAACTATAGATTATACTCACAAACCAAAAGGAAATAAAAACAGCAGGTAGTCCATAAAGACAGTCCAATGGAATAATACGCCCTAGATGGGACAGGTTAATGCGTTTCGGGAGACAAACTCCCTTCTTCAGAGCTGGCCTAGCCCCTGGAATGTGGAAATTACTTTTGGTATACACCACTACTCCAGTGATCTCCACTTGCTCCCAGGTCCAGTGCTGAGCGGCTGGCCACTTGGTACGGCGCCTCTCAGTAAAAGCTTTGCATTTTCTGAATGAATGCAAAGCATTCTCTGATTGAATATAGAAACAATTGAGTAATGTCTGTGATACTTTTTTTATTTGCACTAACATACAATTGAATATAATAATTTTGGTATGTGGTAGGGTGTTAGCGGCTGTATTTAGAGATTGACATTCTGAGCGCGGGGGACTATATAGATACATTCTCTGATTGGATGAGGTGGAGAGCATGACATCAACGACCCTCTTCACCTCGTCCAATCAGGAAATACTTTGCATTCATTCTCCGACTAGCGCCTGTGCCAAGAAGCGAACCTCCTGTGTTTAGAATACAGAAAGCCAGCTTCTTGGCATGGCTACTGGAAGGAAGTGGAGATCATTGGAGTAGTGGTTTCTATTACAGTGATTTCTAGCTTCCAGGAGCATCACCAGATATGGTATACAGTATGCATGATTACATTGATAAAAGCTGGACCAATGTAACGATGTATAAAATATGTACACCCGGAATTCTTCTTGAAGAACTATTACTACTTGCTGACAGTTTGGGGTACAGCTGTTTGTATACAACAAAACGATTTCTGGAATTGCCTTGGTTGTAATATCCAGTAGTACTCAGTGTCGCTCACAGCAGCCTCAGGAGAGACACACTTAATGCACAGAAGTCTTAATATTTTTGTACATTTCGTGAAAGAAAATCATGTCTTATTGATATTCTTATGATAAATGAAGACTTTATCCTAATGGGAACCTGTCATGACTTAACTGTTGAATCTGCTGTGACAGACCTCTCCCTGAAAATGCTTGTTTCCTGGCTGTCAGTGATCTTCTGGTCTAACAGTTTTGGAATAACAGACCATGAAAAAGAGTGCAGTTGGTGGAGTTGGAACATCTAACCTGTATCTTTGTTTGGGGTCACTGCTTCAAACATTTTAAAATCTTAGCTGAACTTCAGGTTAAATATTTTTTTATATATAGGGGCTGCAAAATGTATTTTTACTTACCTAATCCTCTACTCCTGCAAGGTCCTCCATGCTGTAAAACACCAGCCTCTTCTTCCCAGTCACAGGACCTGCGTCCCTTTGAGCACAGGGGAGTAGAGGAGAGTGCCCTTTGCCAGGGGAGTGGAGGATCGACTAAGTAAAACTGCTTTTTTCAGACTCCTAGACATACATTTACATTCAGCCCTTGCAGTTTGAGGGCAACCACATAACAAGGGAGCTTTTTTCCTTTCTGTGGAGTTCAGTTTTAGGTCCTTAACTTTTGTGACCCCCCAAATGAAGATTTATTTATTTCAGGTACTTTTATAGCACCGTCCATTTACGCAGCGCTTTACACACATATATATATATATATATATATATATATATATATATATATATATATATATATATACATTATACATCAGTCCCTAACCCTCAAGGGGCGTACAATCTAAGGTCCCTAACTCACATTCATACATACCCAATTTAGACAGGATCCAATTAACCTACCAGCATGTCTTCGGAGTGTGAGAGGAAACTGGAGTAACCGGAGGAAACCCACACAAGCACAGGGAGAACATGCAAACTCCATGCAGGAGGTGCCATGGTTGGGAATCAAACCCATGACCCATTTACTGCAAGGCAGACGTGGTAACCACTAAGCCACTGTTCCGCTCCGAGATGCAAATTAGATGTCCTGACTTCAGCAGCAGCCCGGAGATGGGCTTTAATAGATAAGGCATGACAGCCAGGCAGCTGGAATTTTTAAAATAAGTGGCAGCCTGCATATTTGTCCTATCAGGCCTCCTTTAAGTAAAATGTATTCGTACAGCTGATGCCGCCGAATGTGTTTTTTTTTTTTAAGGTACAAACCTGGAATGACATTAAAATAAAAAGGAACTTACATGTTATTATATATAGTGTAGGCTCTGTTATTATTGACAGCCCTTTTTACTGCCTTGTATTGTTTATTAAAAGCCATTTAAATAATGTGAACCAGCGCTTTAGATGTGATCCTTTAATTCACCACACCTTCTGTACCAAGTGCTATACTAACCGTATCAGCCCTTCTACTGTATATACCCCTATCTTTTATATGGCGCTATTGGTTTTTGTCTAAACATGTGCAATAAACAAGCATATTCTCTACAATGGTCATATCCTCAAATAACAATTAAACATGATTCAGTAAAGTGTCCTTTGTGCTTCAGTAAAGTCTCTCTGTGCTTATAAAGTGTCCACATGCTTTCAGTTATTCACAGTATAAGGCTTCATGTACACGGGGCGTTTGGAAAACTCTTCTGAACAATGGAAACTGACTGCTGGAAAATGTAGGTTAAAAAACGTCAGTTTATGTGTGTTTGCGTTTAGAATCGTTTTTTAAAAGATAACCTCAGGAGACCTTCCAAATGCCCAGAATACACTGAAAAATAGTAAAAAAAAATAACTGTTTCAGACATTTTGAGAGAAATAGAGAGAGCAGAAGCAGAGAGAGCAGTATGTGTGGAGGTGACCTGTCTTTTCTGGTTGTATTCACTATGGATCCCATCATGAGCATAATGCAGCACGTTCTACCATTTTTTTCCTTCACGCGAAACCTGGAACTGACTGCGCTGGTGTACCGGGTCCATTTGAATACATGGAAAACGCTTTACATGCATTTTTGATGATGAAAAAAGGCTCTGGACTGCATCTGGATATGGAACAGTTAAAAAATGCTTCTAAACGCGGTTAACCGTGTTTACAAGCATTTGGCATTTGAAAAATCTACTCCTGAATGCAAGTTTGGTGCGTTCAAAATAACAACTGTAAACTCAACTGCCTGTAAACGACGATGTGTACATGGACACATAGGAAAACATTAGGGAGAGTTCAGGGGCTGCTGAAAAAAACGCTGAACAGCTCCTAAACGTCAGTTGAGCAGCTGCAGTGTGTACATGAGCCCTAATGCACAATGCCTTCAAACATATTAATGTGTCCGTGCTCAAAAAACTGTTCCATTTCCAACAGTCAGTGCCATAGTGTTCCCGAAATCCTCCACCATAAACACAGAACACTCACCAGTCACGCGCCCCCTACCTGGAAATGCTAATCACGTGTGTATATATAGATATATATATATAGACGTGATTTGGCGCAGCCCTGCCGCCCTGTAGCAGTAGTTCTACTATAGGGCAGGGGAAAGCGGTTAAACAAAACGAATGGCGCTGTATAAAAGATAAAATATTGTTTATTAAAGCGGAGTTCCACCTGAGTGTTCAATTCACAGAAATAAATATCACAGTGGTGTGGAATCTTTATTCCTCAAAGGAAATGAACCTTTAATTATTAGAAGTTTCTATTTCTCAAACATTTTCTTCCCCGGGTTTTTGTTTTTTTTTTTATTACCACCCTAAATGGCTTTTCTTTTTTTTGTTGTTGCTTTCCTCAGTAGATACTTGTTAACTCCAGGGACAAGTTAGCAGCATTTTTAAATGTAAGATCCCAAGCAATCCCCCCCAATCGCCTGCAAAGTAGAAATCAGGCCAAAAGTAGGAGGATCTACACTGTGAGCCAATCAAGTTATATTATTTTTTTACAGGGATGTCAGTCTAACTTGCTTTCAAGCACAGGGAGCTGAGGGGGGGGGGGGTTTATGTGCTGCGATAACTTCTGAAGTATGATGAACTTTATTCGTGGTCCAATAAAACAAAAACAGGTGACAGGAAGCTGCAGTAGTGAATAGTGCCACCATCCTGGCTATACAGTGTGGCAGAGATGTGTGAGTTACAGAACTGGATGAGCGGAATTAGAATGATCTTTGTAGTTAAACCAGTTCACGTGTGTGTTTTCATAGCAGGTGTAGTCATTGGCAGATAAAAGGAGATGAGACCCCTGAGTTTTATTGCTTTGATTTTTAAAAGAAATCTGCAAACCATCCAAAAAGTTTGTTTCATTTAATGCATATAAAGCCATTGCA